CTGTGCAATCTCTCCTGGCCCAGCTGGCGGGGGGGGATGGGGGTGTCACCTCTGTCCCTTCCTCGCTGCCATGCGCTCAGGACGTGAACCCGCTGGGGATATTGAGTAACCCCCTCCTGCAGATGTATGGAAAATCCCATTGGGAATGTGCTGCCATGTGGGGTCCCATCTGGGGACCCGGGGACATGGCTGTCAGCTGGTGCCCACCCACAGGGGTCTGCAGAAACATCCCCTTCCCCTCAGCTCCGCCACATCTGGGATGGGGGCAGGGATGGTGACCTGCCCCCATGATGTGAAACTCTCTTTGCTGTGCCATTTGGCTGTTGCTCCACTCGGGGGAGCCAGGATGGGGCCATCCCAAGCCAGAGCCCCCTCCTGGGGCAGATGCCCTGGCTGGGCCACAGCCAGCACTGCTTGTCCCCCTGTGTCCCTGCGGTGTGTGGCAATCGTGGAAAGTTGTCCTGTTAGGGGAAAGGCTGTGGGGTCTTACGTCTCTTGCAACCCTCAGTGCTGGCAATTCTCCTGCTGCCCCCCTCCACATGTCCCAGCCAGGTGCCCACATTGCCACTTGCCCTCTCCTCCACAGATCTTGTGCCACCCCTCTTGTCACTTCCCAGGTGCCCCTGGTGTCTCGGGGTGTCCTGCCATGGTGTCCTGCACTGCACTGAGGTGTGTGCAGGCACCAGCCAGGAGCTTTGTCACCTTGTGGGTCTGGGCTAATCTGGAGCTTCTGGGAAGTGCAGGGACATTTCAGGGCTCTGGGGACAGAAGGACACAGGGGACACTATGCCCCCCTGCACCCCTGTTTTGGTTTTGATGTCCTCCCAAGCCATCTCAGTGATGGGAGCAGCAGGTCAGGGGGTGGTGGGGCTCTGCAACCCTGGGTCGGCTCCCAGCTCCCCATCCTTGGGACATGAATTCTCCTCATAATCCCCTCGTGCCTCTGGTAAACCCACCACCCAAAAACGGGCCCCACATCCTCCATGTCCTGCTAGAAGAGGCTGTGAGGAGCTGCTACCACCAGCAGCCATGGCAGGAGCAAGGAGAGAAGAGCCAGGACAGGGGCTGCAGCGGGGCAGGGACTGGGCTGACCTGAAGTGGGACACCTGGGTGGAGGCTGGGGGTGATTGCTCAGGGCCATCAGGACCCCCAGGAGGTGCAATGAGATCCTCAGGTCTCTGCTGCCACAGCCCCTGCTTTGAGCAATCCTCCCCACAATCTGCTGTTCTCCTGGGGATGGGGGGAAAATGCCTCCCCCCAAATTCTTGAGTGTCGCCCTGTCATCCCCAGCACTTCCAGATGTCACATGCACCCTCCCTGGAAGTGTTCAAGACCAGGTTGGATAGAGCTTGGAGCTTGGAGCATCTTGATCTAGTGGGAGGTGTCCCTGCCCATGCAGGGGGGTTGGAACTAGATGATCTTTAAGGTCCCTTCCAACCCAAACCATCCTATGATTCCACATCGTCCCATGGCACCACTGGATCCTGGGGGACCAAGATGCCACAATCCTCCAGGCTCTCCCTAGCCCAGCTTCCCCAGGGAGAGATGGAGGTGCTAGGTCAGAGATGTGCCCATGGGCTAAGGACATGCCTGAGGAGGGACCTCATGTCCCTGGGAGTTGTGGTACCAAACCTCCTCGCAGGGGCTGGCTGGGCTGAGACATGCCCATGTGTCCCCAGGGGGGTGGATATCTCACACCAGAGGTTTATGGTTGTCACCAGAGCCTACAGGTGAACATGTCTTCCATTAACTGCATGGTGAAGCTCCAGCACCAGGGTCGATGTAGCCCCCTGTGCCCACCCAGGGGGAGTACTAGGACATCTGTGTACCTCCCAGCACGGCTGTGGTGGCCCACAACCCTGATGTGGCCAAGCTTCCAGTGCCTGCACAGGGCTGGTAGCATCCCCACATCTCAGTGCAGAGCTGGGCTCCATGGCAGGACACTCAGAGACACTGGGGATACCTGGGAAGGGAAAAGAGGGGCAGTGGGGACGGGTTGAGGAAGGAGAGAGCAGGCAGCAGTGTGGATTCTTGGCTGGCCCCCTCGGTGGGGAGTGGGACAGCTGCCACTGCTGAGGGTTGCAAATGGGACAAGAGGTCTCATGACCTTTCCCCAAATAGAACAATCGTTGCTGGTTGCCACACACCCCAGGGACACATGGGGACAAGCAGTATTGGCTGTGTCCCAACCAGGGCATCTGCCCCAGGAGGGGGGCTGTGGGAGGGAGATGGTGGCCCTGACCATGTTCCCCGTGGGCTCCACTGCAGCATTAAGTCCCATCCTGTGTCCCCAACACCCCACATGGGACCCCATATGGCAGCACTTCTCCAGTGAGATCTTCCACCCTGGCAGCTGTGGTTGCCTCCAGGCCAGCAGCTCTGGGCAGGGGTTACTCAATATCCCCAGCGGGTTCACGACCCGAGCGCATGGCAGCGAGGAGGGGACAGAGGTGACACCCCCATCCCCTCCCGCCAGCTGGGCCAGGAGAGATTGCACAGAGCCAGGGAGATGGTGCTGCGGAGCCCCAGCTGGGATGCAGCCAAGCCCGGCCCCAGGCATGTCCAGCCTGGCCTGATTGCACAGAGCCAGGGAGATGGTGCTGCTGAGCCCCAGCTGGGATGGAGCCAAGCCCGGCCCCAGGCACGTCCAGCCTGGCCTGGGGCTGGCAGGAGGGGACAGCAGAGGAGGGACTTGCCCTGGCCCCTCATAAAAAGCCCCCAGCACGGACGGGGGGCAGGTGGCACCCCGAGAAGAGCCCAGAGCAGCGCTGTGAGCAGAGCTGTGAGAGCAGGGCCATGGAGCAGTACTTCTCAGCCACCCAGAAGATGGAGCAGGAGGTGATGTTCCCCAGCCTGCTCCGAGGGGTCTTCCCCCAGCAGGAGGGGGCAGCCCCGGCTGCAGATGGACACACGGACCTCTATGAGCGCTACCAGCTCCTCAAGGCCATCAAGCCTGTGGTGGAGAAGGGCCTGGCCTCTGTCACCGACCAGAGCCACAGCAGCACTGACACCAGCACAGCCTTCGATGACAGGGACACCAGCACAGCCCCGGATGACAACGACCCCATGGACGCCCAGCTGGAGGAGCGCCTGTCCCACCACCTGGCCGGCTTGCAGCAGGTCCTCACCCACCTCACCAGGGACACCAATGCCCTGACCCGGAGATACAGCCAGATCCTGGAGCAGATCAGCCCCAGTGAGGGACAGCCCAGCTGGTGACCCTTCCCCAGCCCCCAGGTAAGAGCCGGGGGGACGTGGAGTCCAGGGGCACTGGCACAAGGGGTGGCTGAGCTGTGTGTTCCTGCAGGGGTGGAGAGGGACTGGACAAAGCCTTGAAATGGGGGCTGTCCCCTCCAATGCTGCAGGTCAGAGAGAATCGTTAAGGTTGGAATGGACCTTCGAGATCATCCAGTTCCCACCCCCCCGGCCTGAGGAGGGGACCCCACCAC